GTTTACATCTTTACTTTTGACTGAAATTTAGCATTTCTTTCTATTACAAATGTGGACAACAATCCACTAATATTAGCAGTGCCTGTGACTTCAGCACCTGTAGAACTCAGTTAATTTCATATCACTTTTACAGTTGTGATACATATCTTGAAATATTATTTTATGCTCATCGCCTTTTTGAAACTACAGTAATTATTAGACCTGCCGCTAGATATTGTTTCATGTACTTCTAAAGAAGCACATACATTACTGTACTGCAGATTTCGTTCTTTAGATTTTATTAACTGTATTTCATTCTAACTGATCTCCTTTGATTTCCTAAGTATCTATGGGGCAGTTCTACTCTGTCCTATAGGGTTTCTGTGAGTCAGAATAGACTTGATGGCAATGGGTTTGGTTTTTATTTTACGTATTTAAAAACATTTTTCCCCAAATTCCAAGAGTCCATAGCTCAATAAAAGGTTAAGAATCCTTCCTCTAGAGGCCCCCTTCCTGACTGAGGATAACTTGTGCCCTTGGTTTTGCTCCTGTCCAGGTGGCCTGGGCCCTTATTGTGTTCGTTATCCCTGTCGTTTCTTTTTGCTATTCTTGAATATTAGCTGTATAATAAAACACACGGTATATGCACATAGTGTAAAAATTCAAGTAGTACCAAACACTAAAAAACCCATTGCCACTGATTCGATTCCAACTCATAGTGACCCTGTAGGACAGAGTAGAACTGCCCCATGGGATTTCTAAGGAGCGGCTGGTGGATTCGATCCGACCTTTTGGTTAGCAGCCAAGCTCTTAACCACTACGCTGCCAGGGCTCCAGAAAGGTATAATCTCCTCTCTAATCCCTAGTCCCACTTCTGTGGGGAAGCCTGTGGACTAATGTACAATTCAGAAAAATTTTACATACATTTTTAATGCTAGTCTGTTAGAACCTTCTTATTTCCCCCTATTTAGTTCCTGCTTGTGTTCTTGAAGGTGTAGGTCAGCTGTCACTTCTAAAGCCATAGCCTCTTATTTCTCAGAACTGTGTTCTTAATTATATTTCAGCACTCATCATATTATATTCCACAAGATTTGATTCCTGTCTCTACCCTCCTTCACCCTGGAGCTTCTACAGGAAAAGGCAGGGATTCTATCTAAGTCAGATATGAATCCCCGACTCAGCTGAGCTCAGTGACCGGCGCAGAGTAGGGACTCAGTAAATGCTGAAAAATGAATGTCTGAGTTTCTTTCCAGGTTGACCCCACGGCGACTGATGCTTACAGCGTGTAGGTTGGTCCACAGTGAGACCCGCAATGTAACCGATAATATGTGTTGAGAAAATGTTTTAAAAAATAGTTGGAAAAAATACGATACTGTTAATAATTGACTCAACAGAAGAACAATATAATTAAAACGGATTTTCTTATTTATCTCAAATTTCATTTTTTGGGGGAAAAGCATATTTAATTGTGAAATCAAGTGGGCAGCTGAGGACTTTGGTGAGACTTTGGTGGGAGCACATTTGATGGTTTCTGATGTTAATTTGTTGTTAATGATTTTTAAAAGTTTGTCCTATTTTTGTCAGTTTTTCTAATTTCTATAAATTTATATTATATACTATACCTACATGAATGTACTGTATCATAGTCCTTTTATATTGTAGTATTAATTATAGTATGTTACTAGCATTTTACTTATTTCACTGCCATTCTGGCTTTTTAAAAACATTTTGAGACGAGTCTGGATGAATAGTAACGGAAAAAAGGTTGGGGAGCAGACTACGTGCTCTATTTCTTATGTGTGGAGTAAGAGAGAAATGACACAATGGTTAAGCCATTTTTTCCTGTACACCACCAGGTGGCACCACTGGCCCATAATAACAGAATTTCTGCCCAGAATCAGCAGGAAGGGAAGGTTTTGGGAGCCACCTGTAGGGGTAACGTAGGGGGTGGGGCTAGCATATGGTCATGGGTGAGGGAGAGAAAATCTTTGCATATTTTTTTCTCTCTAGAGATTTTTGTAAATTAGATGTTTATAAAAACAGAAAGTGAAGCACATGAAGAATTAAATCTTTATCATTTCATCTGATAATTTTTATTTTTCTTTTTTTCTTTCTATACATGTAGTCCCTTCAGAAACAGGTAATGCTTTTTAATAGTCACTTTGTATTTCTGCATCTTGCTCTTATAATGCTTTTGTTTCTTGCCATAGATAATGTAAAATTAATACATCCTGATGTATGGCATTGTAAAAATTTGCATGCAGATTCCCACAAATGCAGTTAGATTATGGCCAGTTGGGAATTTTCTGAACTTTGCATAAATCCTGGTTACAACATTGTACTATTTGTTTAATACCCCAACAATGGTGTTTCAAAAGTCTAAACATGGTAATAAAATAGCTAACATTTTCAGAATTTACGATATTGGGTTTTGGTAATAGCAGAGAATGAAATACCCAGCTCTTGCTTCTTCTAGGTGATGATACACTGTGGCCCAGAACAACCAGGATGACACAATGAGGTCTTACAAACAAAGCCACTGAGCAGGGTTTTCCCAGCATCCTGACCCCGTAGCCTCATTTTGTGCTGACTCTCCACTTCTGTACATCTCCCTCAAACCCTGGGATCATCTTTAAAGAGAGACTTAATTAGGGGGAATTTTTCAAATCAAGGAATATCATTCCTTATAGAATCACACTTTTACATTTTCCTTCCCCATTTCTGCCTTGAAAGAAAACCACAATGCTAAGTGACATATGTGAATAGTTAATTCCTTTATATAGTGGGTATCGTAAACAGAAGATTGAAGATAAATATGTAGTATTGAAAAACATGGACTTAACAATAGCCTCTTAACACAAACTAAATTATGGTCAGCAGAGTAAAGCCTGGTTCTGTGAAGTTTTAGAAACGTTTGCTTTTCCACGTCGGCTGCGGTTTACTCGTTGCCGTCGAGTCGACTCGGACTCATAGCGACTCTGTAGAACACAGTAGAACTGCCCCATAGGGTTTCCAAGGAGCAGCTGGTAGATTTGAACTGCTGACTTTTTGGTTAGCAGCCAGATTCTTAACCACTGTGCCACCAGGGCCCCCTTTTTGATTTTGTATAGAATAATGCCAGTACCAGCATCTTTAAGATATTTTTCTTGTACATTTTGACCCTTAATTTGAGCACAGCTTGCCTCAGTCGCTAGTATTTCCTGAATACTATTAAATACACACATATATACACATATTCTGCAATGTGAAAAAGTCTGTTTATGTGGTTCTGTAAAAATCTCTAGCTGCTTTGAGCTTTAATTTCTTGCATAAAAAGCTTGCTCTTTAGTGCTGAGTTTCTAAGTAAATGCTTTATTTATTTAAATGTATGCTTTTCCAAAACCATATGATTAAAACACTAACAAGATCTTAAATACGAATTTTTATCAATAGTTCCTGTAACTTAAAATGATACAGAGTGGGGATAGAGTAGGGCTGACTAAGGTGGAATGTCAAATGAGGCCAGGCTTTTAGGGCCTTCAGTGGCTCCCAGCTGAAGATGGGGTGTCAGCAAGACAAACATTTGTCTGTTGGGACCTCTCAGAGCTTTTTCAGAACGCGGGCACGTTCACATGCCTGCTCTGCCGCACCCCCAGCCTAGGCCTGCTGCTTTGGGCATCTCCCATGGCATGCTCTTGGCTCTTAGAATTGCTACCATAGGAGCAGTGTTGGGTCGAGCTGGCAGCTAAACCCATAGGTGCAATTAATGCTCTCATTCTCCAGCACGCGCACGCACACGCACAGAGATACACAGACACACACACAGACACACACACACTGTTGTGGGATAAGAGGAGGTAAGAGCTAGCTAGGCTTTCAGTGCCATGACTGAATGTGCTGTCTCAAATCTCTTACTTTGGCATCACTTTACCTAACGGGGAGACAATGACCATTATAGAAGCATGGCCAAATCAAAACTCCCTCTGGAGTTCTCTTTTGAAGGAAACTGTGTGGTTAGGCTATGGATTGTTCCCTTTTCCTCTTGGTGGCAGCTTGCAGTAAAGACGAGGATACAATGGCTGGGGGCCAGTACTCCCCGTTAGAGCCAGATCAGCAGAAGAATGGCTCCCTAGCCCTGTGGTAGGTGCTGCCCTGGCAGGCCAGCCATTTAAATGCAAGCCTGTATCTACAGAGCCTTTTCTCACACTGTCATTACCCAAGTAGGACTTTATTTAGCTGGCTTCTAACTCCCAAATAGAGAAAATTTCCTTTGCTGGGCAACAGCTTTGAGATAGTTGCAGTCAGCTGGACGCGCTGATGACACCTTGCCCTTACACACCAGGGCTCCTCAGTGACAGCAGTAGAGGAGGAGAGAACACAAATGAGTGAGAAAATGTGGATGGGAAGTCCAGGTAGGCCTGCCACCTGAACTGTCTGGACCAGGTGACACTGTAGGCCTGAACTTTGTAGCAGAGTGGCTGTAGGGACAGTGGGCTCTGTGAAGGGATGGGCCACTTAGAATGGCTGCAGTTGCTAACAATAAGAGTCTGTTAGGACACTAACCAGTGCATATAGGCATGGATTTGGAAAGTTAAAAAACAATCTCCATGTGTTTGGCTGCAGGTACTCTGAAGGTATATGTAATCAGTGGGTCCATTAAAAGAGATCTTGTTTTGGATGGATTGAAAGTTTCTGGGTCACTTCTGAAACACACAAAGTAATTATTTTTAATGTAATTTAATGAATTGTGCAAATACATTAAAACTTGTTTCATGTGGCTTAGAATTATTTGGGAAGAGAACAGCTTAACTGACAATTCTCTGTGATGTCATTTACTGACTTAAGTTGTCTGGGGGTTGCAAGATTAGAAGTGGTGCACATCTGAAAGTATACTGCTAATGAATGCTATTTTACTATACCAGAAATTCACTTTTGACCATTATTTTTTAAGCATACTTCTTTGATTGTTGGCAATTCCTGTGTGTATTTATGTAGCTGGATGTCTGGATCTATAATCTTTCAACCAAAACCATCCTTTGCAGATGCTTTCACTGACTCTGCGATCAGTGCTAAAGTGAATGGTGAACACAAAGAGAAAGACCTGGAGCCTTGGGATGCAGGCGAACTCACTACCACTGAGGAACTGGAGGCTTTGGAGAACGATGTAGTAAGTCAGATCTTTGCAGTTAGTATCAGAATCGAAGGCCAGTGTGGTGTGTGTATGGCTTCCTATTTTGTGATTTGTATTTTAAGTACAGTTTTTTTTTTTTCCTTGTTATAGTGACTGTATTTAAAGCAGCAGTTTTATTGTGTACATAGATAACTTCCCCCACTCTTCCCAGGCAATAAATTAAGAAAAATTAGCTCTTGTTATTTTACTTGTAAGGGTTAAGTGAGAGTGCTGTCTATTCTCCTGGATTCTCATGAATTTTCTTTTTGATTAAAATAAATTGTAATAAGCAGCTTACAAATTTAAATTGGAAACTGTGAGAAACTTTGGAAAAACCAGCATCTTTTGCCTTGAACTCTTTGAAGAAAAGGCAGCCTAAGGAAAGTGGTGCGTTGAATTCTCTGTTGGCTTTACCAAGAGATGAGGTCAAAGTAGGACATTCTAGGATTCTAGCTGAGGAAGAAGTACTCATTATTCAGATACTGTAATTCAGATACGGTAGTTAGGTTACTTTAGAATTAAAGCAGTAAGCAACTTTCTTGTCTTAATATTTGGATCTAAAATAATGCCTCTTGTCACATATTGTTTTTGCTTTTCCCATAACACACTATCTGTAAATCATGTGCTTAATGCTCTATCTTTAGAATTCTATAAACTGTGTTTTTAAAGCAGAGACATAAAGCAAAGTTGGTTGCCAGAAATGAATGTTTAGATAGCAGAATTTGAATTGGATGAAGAATCTTCCAGTGAGGATGACAGAGAAGTCTTTATAACAAACTTGAGTTTGATGTTTAAGGCATTGCTTGCCCAGTTATTAAACTGGAAATAGATGGCAATTTATCATTATTAACTTTGAAACTTTTTAAAGAATCATGTGTACCTAATGTGATGTGGTTCTCAACTCTGGCACCACCTCACCTAGTGGATGGAGGACCAGGTGCTCCTTCTACACTGTTAGTGAGGCATACACGTGCATAGAAGCTTTCTGGAAATGTTCACCACAACTTAAAATGCACGTGCACTTTGTTCCAGCATTTCTACCTCTAAGGATTTATTTTAGTCATAATATATCCATAAGACATGCAGATAATTACGTATGAGGAGTATTATTTTGACAGCATTGTTTCTAATAGTGAAAAATTGAAAACATCCTAAATGTCCATCAGTAGGTCGTGGGTTAGGTATTATGGTGCCTCTATTCATTGAAATACTACATACCCATTAAGAAGAACATTGTGCTGATATGGAAAGGTAGCCTAGATATATTAAAAAGCAAGTTGCAAAACACTAAGATCCTACTTGAATTAAAAAAAAAAAAAAAGGATGTCTGAAATTATGTGCAAGAAGTTGTTAATAATGGTTATCCATGTACACTGAGATCAAAAGACTTTCACTTTTTACTGAATATCTTTCTGTACAGTTTGGTTTTTAAAATAGAACATATATTGAGTGATTCTAAAGCATCCATAGGTAATTGTGATTTCCTGCCCACATGTATTTAGGCCTGAAGAATGGCTTTACTGGAGTAATTATATTACAGTCTTACTGGAATAGCACAGGAGAACCCAGGGTTGACGCTTTAGAGTTGAAGTTGCCATTATTGTTGCTTGGATGATGCTGTGTCCTGTCTTCTGAGATGGATAACAACATGCTTTGTAGTTTTACCCTTCCTACCAGCCAGGCTTTCAAAGGGGTGTTGAAACGTTGGAGAGATAAGTGATGAAAATTTGTCCCCCCTCTGCCTCTGATTGGTTGATTGTAATAGATTAAAGAATGCAATGTAGCTTTTGAGAGGTAATTTTCTGTAGTTCCCTCACAGAATTGTAGTTATTCATACTGAGGTTATAGGTTAAGGGACTAAGGCCCAGAGTTGTGCTTGCTGTTCCCACCACTGCTAATGGCAAAACCATGTCTGAGACCCAACTCTCGTGACCCCGTCCAGTGATGACCTGCTGGCTGTCTCATGCCGCCTTCCCAACGGGAAGGGAAGGATGGCAGGGATCTAGTACCAGGTCCCACCTTGAAAAAGTGATGCAGCAGTGAAGCCTTTGCTTTCCCCTTTCTCCTCCCAAAACACTGGTAATATTTTGGGGTGTCAGAAAGCACCGCTTGTCCTGCACAGACGTGATGATCAGTGATTTCAAGACAGAAGGTCCTGGGGGGAGAGAAGAACCCTGATCTGAAGGATCCTATTTTATGAAGCAACTAAAATGTTCTAAACTTTTACTAATAGCCCATCAAATCATTGTTTTGCATAGTTAGTTACTAACCTGTAGGGGCTGATATTAGATGAAAAGCTTTTCCTTAAAACATTTTTTAAGGAAATTTTTGCCTATTTTTAATTTTCTAGATTTTGCTAGTATAGTATGTTAGATATTGTTAGTGTAGCATTGATAAGTAACTGAATTACAGAAGACAAATAGTTTGTCATTTTAAAAAAATGAGCTTCATTTTCTTCTAGTCTAATGGATGGGATCCCAATGATATGTTTCGATATAATGAAGAAAATTATGGTGTAGTGTCTACATATGATAGCAGTTTATCTTCATATACGTAAGTTTAAAAAGTTTGCTTTTATTTTCGTGCATTTGTTTTCTGTTTTCATCAACTTAAATTATAATGGCGAATAAATGTTTCAGTTGGATTTTAAGTTCAATGATTATATGAAAGAGTTATTCTGTTACTATGTAGGCTGATAAATTCCCGTTAAAATAGGGAATAAATGTGATTTCCCTCTGTCTTAATGTTATGCTCTAAATATATTTTTGTTTTGTTTTAAAGTTATAAAAAATACAAACTTGCAAGAGTAGAGGTTATGGGTGAAAGGTAAATTTAGTCAGTTTTTGAAAATGTCATACTGCTCTAAGGAATGATGAGAAAAAATTTAAATCTTGATTAATAAATGAATAGATCACCTTAGTTCTTATAATTTTACGAGTGTTCCAAACTCTAGACTTTCTTAATGATTGATTATGACAGATATATTAACTACGGCTATAAAATATTCACTTTGCCTTTCTTTACCTCATGTTTCAGGGTGCCCTTAGAAAGGGATAACTCAGAAGAATTTTTAAAACGAGAAGCAAGGGCAAACCAGTTAGCAGAAGAAATTGAATCAAGTGCCCAGTACAAAGCCCGGGTGGCCCTGGAAAATGATGATAGGAGCGAGGAAGAAAAATACACAGCAGTTCAGAGAAATTCCAGTGAACGTGAGGGGCACAGCATAAACACTAGGTATTTAAAGGAAATCATGATGCAGTATTTTGGATACACAATTCAAGGTCTGTGTGAGAAGCTGCATTGTTACATTTCATCTTCCTTTAATGTAGTTTAAGTAGAAAATGCAAATAGAATTGGTTCAAGATTCTGTTAGAGAAAAGATGATGATAACCATGGAAAATACTTTTGAGAGTCAGCTCTGTGGAGCCAAGTGTTGGACACAAAATGATGAACAAGCCAGGGTCTCAAAGAGCTGGTAGTTAAAGAGCCAACAGTCAGGTGAGGGGAACACGTATAACGTGATTACAATATGATTTGCTAGATTAGAGGTGTGTTCCAAGTTCTAGGAACATTCAGAACGAGAGGAACTAACATAGCCTGTGGGGTCAGAGAAAGCCTCACAAAGGTGGTGACATTTTGTGATAGGATGGTAGGTCTGTCTGCCACTCAAAGAGGAGTACAGGAGAGGAATTTCTTAGGGGGTGAAGAGGCATGTACAGAAGCATGGCCATGTGAAAGAACCCTGCCAGCTCCAGAAAAAGCTAGTTGTTTCACATGTCTGGGACCCAGGGTGCATGTTAGGGGTTCAGTGGTGGCAGTTGGTGATTGGAACTGGGGCAGTGAAAAAAGATTAGGCCAGATAGTGAAAGATTTTGCAAGCCTTGTTTTTAAAGATGGCATCCTATAGGCAGGGACAGTGTGAAAGAACTCTGGGGCATTGAGGACCAGCTGAAACATGTTAGTGTATTGAACTAACAGTGCATTGAAATAGTTCACGTGTGAAAACTGGGTGACCAACTGGGCCAAGGATGATGATGGAAAGGTAAGAAGAACGAGGGATGGCCCTGAGGTTTATTTCACAGCTAAGCAGATTGACGGTTGTACTGATAATGAGCTGGGAAACATGGAGCCAGGTTGCGAGGAGAGGCAATGAGTCCAATTGTGCAGTTCATTGCATTCCAGGGGCTCGTGGGTCTTTCATTCATTTACTCATAAGCAGGTGTTGAAAAACACCTGCTACGTGCCGGTAGAGTAGGATATGCATCCTATCTTCAAGGAATTGACAGTTTTGAGTCTGATGCTTTGAATTGAAGTGTCAAGTGGGTGATGTTGAGAATGGGGGACTGATAGTGTGGATTTGGAGTTCATCGACACTGCTGATACTAAAGCCACAAAAAAACCAGAGAACAGCCAGAAAGAGAATAGATCTGAGATTTCAGAGAAAATAAAATGGAGAAAGCCAAGAAAGAAGAAAGTTTCAAGGAGACGGTGATTGCTAGAATCGGCCGTAGAGAGGCCAGGTGGGGTGAGAATGAGCAAACATCCACTAAACTTTGTGCTTAGGAGGCGAACCTGAGGGAAGACCAGAGGCTAGAAGTCAGGGTAAGATGGAAGAACAGGCATGGCTGGGATGAGACAGTCTGGTTTAGTGTTTAACCTTTTATAACAAGCGTTCCCTTCTTCCTAAATTACTTTTAGATATGTTTCATTGGCCTGGTATTTATGGTATAAAATGATTTAGAGGCTCTCTCATTTTCAGGGAAAATAAATATATTCCTCCTGGACAAAGAAATAGAGAAGTCATATCCTGGGGAAGTGGGAGACAGAATTCACCACGTATGGGCCAGCCAGGATCGGGCTCCGTGCCATCAAGATCCACCTCTCACACTTCAGATTTCAACCCAAATTCTGGTTCAGACCAAAGAGTAGTTAATGGAGGCAAGTATTTTGACCAAATTTGTCCATGTAATAGATCAAATATATAGTTTTCTAAATATTTATAACAGTTTACATAATTGATTAGAATGTGTACACCTTTGATTTTTGTGGAGTGTTATTTCAGATTTGCTTTTGTGGATATCAAATTAGTAGAATGTTGTATAAGTCATTGGTATGTACAGTATTTAGCATGAAGAAATAGTCCTGTACTAAGATAAAGTGCTAAGTTTAACCCAAAGGCATGGACTTGGCCAAAGAACACTCCATATATAAAGAAATTGGAAACTTTGGGTAGGTTCTCAATTTTAAAAGCACTGGATAGTAAAAGTATTTAGACATCGTTTATATGGAAAATCATAACCTATGTGAAGCGCTCAGTGTTTCATATAGATTCATTTTCATTAACTGTTTGTTTATGTATTTATGTTCTGCTTACTTCAAGAAAGGATTTGAGGTAACTTGCAGTACAAGACCTGACCAAGAGTCATGTGAAGAAGAAGAGAGCAGTGAGCTTCACAAAATTACAAAAAAACCTCTTAGTCTAAGGGTGCATGTTGTACTTTAGCAACTTACGTAAAAGAAACAGATATCTCTAGTAGAGAGACATAAATTCTGGGTTGAATATAGCTCATAGATTTTTAAAATTATAAGTCAGGGATATTGGATGACAGTACCGTGGATAGTTTGAAAATGTGGTAATTAATAATAGCAATCAGAGATATGTTACTAACTTACCAAAAAGAGCGGGCATTCAATTTCAGGTACTTAAATTTGGAAAGTTAGAGAAAAATAGAGAACACTTAAGTTTCCAATTTCATTTATCTTCATTGAGCCTTTTCTCCAGAATTCCTCTCCAAATAAACACTCTTGAGTATTTTCTAAATGTATTATTTGAGGATGAAATTTCTTTGCTCACTGAGTAAAGAATTTTAGTTGTTCATGAACAGAATTTTCAAAGTAAAAAACCGGAAGGGGACTAGGAAACATGTGATACTCAAGTGTGTAGAACTTACGGAGAGGGGACCTGGACTGTTTCCTAAGACGAAGGTAAGTAGTATGTATTTTTAAATGTTAGCTCTGTTTTGACCTGTGCATATCCATCAGTGTCGATTTATTTGGTGATGACTGCTGTGTAGTTGCACTGTTTCGTAAGCAGTCTCTGAGATAAGTGTGTAACTGTATACATTATTTTGAAGATCCCCTTTCTTTTTCCAGTTTAATAAGTTTGAAGTATATGTTTCAAAAAGGTAGCGAATAATAACCATTGTCACTCGGGTGACTTTAGATAATAGTAATAATTGTTTTACTTCTCCTTAAATGGGACTTGCTTAATGATATTCCAAAGTGAACCTTAGATTTGGTATAAACTAGATGAAAATCACAGATAATTGTAAGGACCAAGCATTTCTAATTGGATATAATAGCCATTACTTATTTTCATTATGTTTCAAAAGCTAAAACTAATATAGTAAATCATCTTACTTCTGCGCTGTGATTTATTATGTGAAATGATCTAGTGTATGTTGTACTCCTTTTAACAATTGATTACTGAGAAACAGTTCTACAAGCAGCATTAATAGGCAAAGTCTTAACTGTCTTCTTCAGTAGTATTTGTAGATCCTAATTAACCCTTTGGGAACGTGTATTCATTTAAACAGACTTAATTTTAAGGAGGTTAAAGTAAAATGTAAATTTGTGTCAGTTAAGTTATGCTAAAACTTAGCACAAATCAAATGACTGTCCTCAAAGGGTTAAAATGTACAAGAAATCATTTTTGTCATTTTACTTTTTTTTCTGTTTACTTTTTTCCCTCATTTTTTTCTTTAGTTTTTATACTTTCCTTCATATCATTTGTTCTGTCAGGTGTTCCCTGGCCATCGCCTTGCCCATCTCCTTCCTCTCGCCCACCTTCTCGCTACCAGTCAGGTCCCAACTCTCTTCCACCTCGGGCAGCCACCCCTACACGGCCGCCCTCCAGGCCCCCCTCGCGGCCATCCAGACCCCCGTCTCACCCCTCTGCTCATGGTTCTCCAGCTCCTGTCTCTACTATGCCTAAACGCATGTCTTCAGAAGGTACAATACCACAATTTGTTCATGTTTTTGTTTGTCTTTGTTTAACTCCTATGTGAGTTTATAATTACAAAATAGTTTCCTCTTCATTATTTAATAACCTATAATTTCCGTGTTTTAACTTTAGTTTTATTAAAACTATTTCTATTAACCTTTTGTTCATTAGAGAAAAATTTGATAAATGCTGTGTGAAGCTATGAACTATGCTGAATTGTAAGAAGGGGGTTTATCTCTGCCTGGTGTTGATGCTCCTTTATGGTCCCAGAAAAGTCAGCCCTACCAGGGCTTGTTCCCACTTCATGGGCAATGGTCAGCGAATGAGCTCTCTTCCCCTACTTTTGGACTCACCATGGAGCTTGTTGTTGAACAGCTCCTTCGCCAAAGCAATTTGGATCCTGCCTGTGGCCACTTAGGGGTCCTTCTTGAGAGGGACATTCCCGCTGGCTGCCTGTGTGTGTCTAACCTTAGATTACAGTCCAGTACAGAGTTTAAATGCTTGAGGATTTACAACATTAGCTTTGAATATTATATAGCAAAGGTTACTCTAATCTGGGAAAGTCCTTGATCTAAGATAAGTTGTTGATAAAAACTATATATGAATTTGTGTCTTCAGGTATTTTTTATTGCCCTTGTCAAAAATAAGAATAAAATCTTATAATTCTTATTCAGTATTTGATACCAAATTCACCATTCCTACTAATCAAATACATGGATGTGGTGTAGAAAGGTCACATTCTAATTTAAAAGCCAAAAAACCAAAACCAAACCCATTGCTGTCCAGTTGATTCCGACTCATAGCAACCCTATAGGACAGAGTAGAACTGCCCTGTGGAATTTCCAAGGAGCACATGGTGGATTCAAACTGTTACCCTTTTGGTTAGCAGCCGTAGCTCTTAACCACTACGCCACCAGAGTTTCCCATTTAAAAGCAGCATAAATTAAAAGCCTGTTTTTTGAGTGTTAATGTCCTTTTGACATTAGTTCAGAGTATTGGTATTAAACTTTTGATCTGATACATCCATTTAAATCGCAGTTGATGTAGCTTATGTTGGGCATAGTAAAGTTTTCTGGCATAAACTGCTTTCCTGGAGAAAACCATGTTGTCTGCTTTTAAATAAACTGTCATCCAGGCAAAGAGAGGGCGTGTAATCTTGGCTGAGGCGCCTAGCCCTGAACAACAGGTTTCACTTATGTTCGAGGTGGCGTCCTTCTCAGAAATACTGGTAATAGTGGGCACTCAATGGAAGGTTAAATTGTGTTGAAATATACGTTGTGGTTCATTGTTTGAATACGTGATGAGGGTATATTATATCAAACATGACTCTTTAATGAGTTTGAACGTTTTTACCACATTAAGATGAAAGGACTGCTTGTGGACTAACTATTCACAGAAGTAAACCTTCATTATTCAGGGATGTTGCAGTTCAGTTTTTCTTTTTCACTAATTTGAATTAAAATGTTTTCTAGTCAGGTAGTTGCTTGGCACAGAAGCATTTTTGAAGTGTCAGCTTCAAAATTAAAACTTTTAAGTACAGTGCTTGTTTATAGATATGTATAGGAGAGTATATGTTGTTTTTATAATTTATAATGTTTATATTACCAAAAGGAATGAATTTTTTTAAAGTTACATTTGATTTCATGGAACTGCACCAACAGACTTTCTTGCCTTTTTCTATTGAGGAGTGTAAAACAATGTATAAATGCAAATACCCAGTTCCTAAATCATTCTTTGACATGAAACAGATCTCTAGTTGAAAATCAGAATATATAGTATTAACATTCTTCTTAAGATCATGTCTATGATCCAGTTCCTACCCACACTAATGTGATGCTCTGAAGCGTTTGGCAGAGGCACAGGTGAGGAGCCCTGGCTTTGACAGTAAGAGCGTTTTCTTTGCCGAGTGTCACCGCTATCAGGCTTGCGGGGTGAGAGCCATTCTGTCCAATGTGTTCACACACTGTAGGCTTCTTTAGTAGTAGACATCACTAACAGGGTGACAACATTGGGGATGTAGAATATTGACAATTCATGTAGTTCATGTTTCCTCCCCAAATCTCAGCTGTTCGGTCTTATAAGCCACACATTAGCAGTAGAATTTTCAGCACAGCCCAGAACTGCTTACAGATGAGAGCCCCTTTAAGCTATGGGTTGTAAAATTGATCATTGTGGCAGAAGAGGTAGATATTCTTAAGATTTTGGGAGAAATTTAAGCAGGGTATGTACATATATTTCAGTAGTACAGCGGCATATAAGGATTAACAGTCTTTTGTCAAATTATGTATTATTTTTTTCCAGTTTTAAAAGTAATGTGGAAAATTTGGAGCAAAAAGCTAAAAATATAGGGTAAAATAAAAACTATTCCATCGTGTAGCCATAATGTCTATTAACGTTTTATTATATTTATTTTTATATGCTACAAATAATAGATGTGGGGTAAACAAATTCTTAAATTCTTTTAAGGATTGTGACATCTTATTGTTTGGTTTCTTGCCACTAACTTCATCCTTCCTTTTATTTAAAAATAAATAAAATAAAATTTGATCATAAAGCTTTATGGCATTCCACAAAATAATTGAGTCAGTATGGCCAAAAATATGTATAGCTTTTCTTTTTTTTTTAATCAAGGAGTCACTGAACTACTTCCATAGAGAAACTATAGAGTGAGTGAGTGTGTATTTAGCAGAAGTGTTGTACTGATGGACATTGTGGCATTTACATCATGTTCACTGTTCCTCTCTTAGGGCCTCCAAGGATGTCCCCAAAGGCTCAGCGACACCCTCGAAATCACAGAGTTTCTGCTGGGAGGGGTTCCATTTCCAGTGGCCTAGAATTTGTATCCCACAACCCACCCACTGAAGCAGCTACTCCTCCAGTGGCAAGGACCAGCCCTGCGGGGGGAACATGGTCGTCAGTAGTCAGTGGGGGTAGGTAACATGTAGCTTGAGGCATAATAAGTGTTGGGTTTGTAATTTTATTTGCTGTAAGAAGGGCTGAGCTCCAGCTCTGTTTGAGGAGGTTTATTTGAGGCAGTCTTTGCTGGTTAGTTCAAGCAAGTGAATCTCTTAACGTGTTTAAAATGGTGGATGACCAGGAATCAGAATGCCTACGTTTTATTTTGGACTCCACTACTTATTCACCGTATGTTAGATCAAATTATATGATAATTCTGAATTTCAGTTTTCTCAACCGGTGAAATAATCCTTGCCTTTTCTACTTTATGGGATTGTGATGAAATTTATAAGAGGTAGTAAATATGAATAGACTTCATAGCTTTAGAAAGTGACACTCAAATATAAGACAAATACAGTACATAACATCCTTTAGAGGGACCTTATTTTCTGTCGTCTTAGCGGCTTTGTTTGCTGTTTATTCCACAAACATTTATTCAAGACTTACGGTGCAGTATATTTCCATAGCGTGTGTACATGCCACTGATTCCCACTTCTACATCCCTTATAAGGAATAGCAAACCCAGATTAGGGGCCAAAGTGTTACCTGTGAATAATCTAAGGAATATCATAACAGCAGCTCTAATAGTGCAAAAAATATTGGAAAAGATAGTTAGGCTGAGACTGCTTTGGCTACTTTGCAATCCTGTTCCTTCATACTTTGCTCCCATGATAACCGGAGAGCGGGAGCGTGCAGTGATTGCTCATTTTGGTCTTAATCTATCTTAATCAGTTCACAGAACCTTAAAAAGAAAAAAGATCTTTAAACTGAAGCAAAGAAAAAATACCCAACTCTATTAAATGTCCATTTTGGGGTGATATACACTGTCTCCTCAGCTTCGTGTAATGCATAAATGTAGTTTCTTTGCACTTTAGATTTTCTCCTTGGTCTTCAATTATATTAATAACAAAGTAGAATTTTTAATTCATTATTTCTTCAGCTCTACTTTTAATCATTTGAAAGTACTCAGATGATCTGGAACTGCATGTTGAGAGTAACATGAGTATAGAACGAGGGAGTAAGGCAGGGTTGTTAGAGATACACCCAGAACAGTGTCACAGGTGTGATCTTTATACTAATTGGAAAAATGGCGATTGTTAAATAATAGTTTCCCCTGGTGACCCTGGTGACGTGAACAATAAAAGAACTGCTTAAGTGAAGCATTTCGAAGCATTTTCTCTTAACCTTTGAATCTGAGCTCTGTAAATGTGTTTATAATAGAATACGAAACCTGTTAGGTATTTATTACGAAGCCGTATAGAATGTGAACCTTTGCTTGGATTATCTTTCCCCTTTGGCTAAATTGGGTCCCTGATTTCCTTAGTTATTGCACAGTGGATCTTGATGGTGTAAGAAAGAGCATATAGGATTAGCTGTGATCTGCTTCTGAAAGGTCACAGCCTTGAAAACCCTATGGAGCAGTTCTACACTGCACACATGGAGTCACCGTGAGTGAGAATCAACGCAGCGACAACAAACAAGCTGCTGAAAGGTGTTTTAGTTTATTATTTGAAGTAGAAAGTTATAAGCCTACTAATTAGGGGTCTCCCTCCCTTTCCTGCTTTTTAAAAAGAAGCCTTTAGTCCTGCTCTTTAGTAGAGAATGTGACCATCTTTATCTTAAAAAGTAGCATTTATCTTGCCTTAGGAACCAGTTTCATTTAAAATACTGTCTTTTGCTTGTGAGACTGGTCGTGTCTTTCAGAATCAATACTTTCAGTTGAGGGGGGTGGGATTCACTGTTGCATTAGTAATTGCTGTTCAGGTATTTATGTTCTGTTAACAGCTATCACCACTATTCCTGAGACTTTGGAAAGGAAGACAGGGTGGTGTGATAAAGAGTAATTGGGGTAGGGACCTAAGGGTGCTAGTTAAGCTGGATTTTCAGAGAAGCCCAACCCCTCTTTAAGAAAGAGAGATTTGAGCTGAGAATTTAATAGATAACTTTCCCCTTTCTTCTAGTTCCAAGGTTATCCCCTAAAACTCACAGACCCAGGTCTCCCAGACAGAACAGTATTGGAAGTACTCCCAGTGGGCCAGTTCTTGCTTCTCCCCAAGCTGGTATTATTCCGACAGAAGCTGTTGCTATGCCTGTTCCAGCTGCATCTCCTACGCCTGCTAGTCCTGCATCCAACAGAGCTGTCACCCCATCTACTGAGGGTATGTAAGGAAGGGCTTCCAGATCCATACTGTTGTTTGTGAAGTTGAGTGTTAGGGTTTAATTATGTGAAAAATGCTGTGTTTTATTCACAGACAGGTATTTGAGCACACATTTTAAATTTTTATGTAAGTGAAATTAGTTGTTTACTATTAATTTCGTATGTATTATTCTTGAATGTGTGTTGTTATCAGGGTTAACTTTCCTGGATATTAAATATCTGTGTAAGTACAGTTATTGATGTTTCGTATGTCTACAAAGGAGAAAAGCCCCTTTTTAAATGGAAGTATTCCTTTCGAAAAAGATAGGAAATGAAAATGGTTTAATGTTTTCCCTTTTTACTTTTCTAACCTCTGTCTAACTTTGAATTTAAAATGTTTTTCTTTCAGCTAAAGATTCCAGGCTTCAAGATCAGAGGCAGAACTCTCCTGCAGGGAATAAAGAAAATATTAAGCCCAGTGAGACATCACCTAGTTTTTCAAAAGCTGAAAATAAAGGTTAGAATTTTTAAAATTCTGTAGGTATAACTGTAGAATTGGGAAGTAGCATGTTTAATCCCATGCCCAGTACAGAGTATTTTGGTCAGCACTTTTTCTTGTATTGTGCATATTTAACTGCATAGCTTGACAAATGCCGAAATCCATACTTACTATATTGAAATTGTTTTTATTTTAATAGACCTTATTTTCATTTCTAACATTCCGTACTAAAGAAATCTTTAGTTAAAGATTAGAAGTGAATCTTTATCTGACAGTTCTTTATTTTTACAGGTGTATCACCAATCGTTTCTGAACATAGAAAGCAGATTGATGATTTAAAGAAATTTAAGAATGATTTTAGGGTAAGTGTCATATTAGAGTGTCATATTAGACTAATGAATTAGAACGTAAAAAAATGTTAAGCATTACTAAGGATTTTTGTATCGTCTGTTTATAAAAGTGCATTATATATACACTCAGCAACATTGAACCATGTGTGTAGAAAGCTAAACATTCTTCAAGTTGTCTTTGCCTGTGCTTTAAGTAGGGTAAAGAAAATCATGAGAGTTCATAAGAATGATGACAGGTATTAAGTGAAAGATTATAATCCTGACATTTAAAACTACCATACATATAAGTTATCATTTGATGCTCTTGTAATTACTTTGTTCCATGAAGCTAGATTTTAGCAGAGCGGGGCCAGTGCATTCATTGTCTGCTGTGGCGAGTGGGAGATAGACTGGACCCTGGTGTTCTGAGGTAGTCGCTACAGTGACATCACTAGAGGTGTATGGGGGGTGTAGACTGCCAGATGACACCAAAATGACTGTCTATAAAAATGTCTCCACAGTTAGTTATAACAATAAAAACATTTTTTCAGTCTTTTTTTTTAATAGTAGTTTAAATGAAGTTTACATTTCAAGTTAGTCTCCCATAGAAAAACTTATACATACAGTGTTATGTGACCGTAATTTCTCTCTCACACTCCTCCTTTCCACCCCTGATTCCCCATGTCCATTCAACCAGCTCCTAACCGTCTCTGCCTTCCCATCTCACCTCCTGACAGAAGCTGCCCATTTAGTTTCTTGTATCTACTTGAGCTAAGAGGTGTACTTCTCACGAGTATCACTTTATGTCCCACAGTCCAGTCCAATCCCTGTCTGAAGGGTTGGCCTCAGAAATTGTTTTCGTTCTGGGCTGATAGAGAATCCAGGGGTCATGCTTTTCGGGGTACCTCCAGTCTCAGACCATTAAGTCTGGTGTTCTTACTAGAATTTGAGTTCTGCACCCCACCTTTCTCCTGCTCCATCTGGGACTCTCTGTTGTGTTCCCTGTTAGGTTGGTCATTGGTGGTAGCCGGGCACTATCTAGTTCTTCTGGTCTCAGGCTGATGAAGTCTCTGGTTTATGTGGGCCTTTCTGTCTCTTGGGCTGATACTTTGCTTGTGTCTTTGGTGTTCTTCATTCTCCTTTACTCCAGGTGGTTGGGACCAATTGATGCATCTCAGATGGCCGCTTGCAAGCTTTTAAGACCCCAGAAGCCACTCATCAAAGTAGTATGCAGAACATTTTCTTAATAAGCTTTATTATGCCAGTTGACCTAGATGTCCCCTGAAAGCATGGTCCCCACACCCCTACCCCTGCTACTCTGTCCCTCAAAGTGTTTGATTGTATTGAGGAAACTTCTTAGCTTTGGTTTAGTCCAGTTGTGCTGACTTCCCCTGTAGGGTGTGCTGTCCTTCCGTTCACCTAAGATAATTCTTATCTACTTATCTAGTTAGTAAATAACCCTTACCCTCCCTCCC